CAAAATCACATCCACCCTGCAGTAAGGGTCAATAACTCGCAATTCCCACCATGAAGTGGCTGTCATTTCTTCAATTTTTCGACTCTTCGCTTTACGTCACTTTGTTACCTAATTTGGTTCAAGAATTTTTTTTGTTTCTTTAATCCCTAGTTTTCACAATTCTTCCCATTTTCCTTTATCGATAACCCCGTAACTTCTTACCTTCTTCCCTATTTATCGCATTCTTACAGTTTTTTCTTCGTCAATATTTCTGCCTTACCCCATTTATTATATTTCTTTGGCAAACCAATGTATGGTGTGTGTTGGCCATTATAATTTGCCCATTACTAAATAACGATAAAGCCATTACGGTTTTAATTTAGCGCACGACATTTATCTCGTTGAACATTTTTAATTTCATAGGGTTAACACTTATCGTTTTCCTTTTCGTCCATCGTCTTCCTTTGCTTTTCTCTTCCCACTATGTCTTTCCGTTTTCCTTCACCACATCTTTTTTCTTTGACCACTTTACTCTAATGCTCTTTTAGCTATCCAGTTTACAGCACCTCCATCCCTCCCCCCANGAAGAAGAAGTCGCAAGGTAGTCGTGTCGGACGCTCTCCCATCTGGCCCCACCCGCACAACCCCACCCCCAGCACATCGCAAATAGAGTTAGCTGCCGCCGCCGCCGCCGCCGCCTCCTGACCTCTGAGACGTTTTGTGGCGCATTGGCGGTGATGGGGCTACACAGAGGTTCGTGACTGCGATCGCCCGCTAGAAGGAAGAGGAGAAAAAGTGTCGTTCTTAACTCTTCGACTTCTCTTTGTTTCATCCCCCAACCAACCTCCATTCCTCAGTTTTGAATTATACAGGCATTTAAAATACTAGTTAAAGTACCATTTGAAGTCGAAACAAAGTTTTCTCAACATTATCCAGCGTCGAATTAACTTTATAGAATTGAAAATTAATTTAATGTAGGAAGGGGTATAGAAAAAGTTTAAGAAATGTAATGATGTTTAAAGTTTTAAAATACTAATATTGATACGGCGTTGTCAAAAATTCAGCATAAACCGTGCATCGCTAGAACCGTTGCCACCGCCGCTGTTTCCTGCCGTCCGAAAAGTTTTGTTATCGTTGTTGACTATGGCTGAGAGTTTGGTGAATATATGGGGAGGATGAAAAGCAAAATAATTATCGTGCTTTGTTCTCTAACTTTCGGTTCTACTCTTGTTTCTTCCATTTGACCGACACCTAAACTGACTTTTCAAACACCTTATCCACGCTTGGCGCCAATTCAAAATGGCGCCGCACAAACAATTTATAATGCAGTGCATCTGTTTAATACTTTATTGATAATTATTAAAATATACGCTTTAAATAATATTTTTTATTATTCATTTTTCAAGAAAAGAAAATACGTTTCTACCACACACCACAAGCACATACTGAATAGAACAATATATACTTCATTTTTTCTAACTGGTAACTTTTGCATTAACATACTTAAATTGTACAAGTGTCAAATTCTCAAAAATGTATAATTTGAGTTAATACTAAATACTTAAAACACCTCTTACCAGAAACCTTCTGAAAGCTCCATATTTCACATACGTATTTCATCGCTCTGGGCGAAGCTGTTCGCTACAGAGTTTCCGCATGTTATCTCTTCTGACTTCCTACAATACTCAATTTCAAGTTCCTTTAGGCGCTAAGCGAATCAATTAATAATTCGATAATTCGGGTCTCTGTCTCATCGCCGATTACAGTTTGTGCAGGCCTGGCAGCAATCATGAGAGTGAGTTGAGTGACAAGCGTCGGCCTCCGGTACCGATGGCATGGCGACCTGAATCTATTGTCCTTGGGGCGAGGGAATTTATCGAACGGTTAATGAAATTTTCGCAGGCTGTGAACAAGGTGGCTGCTTCGCCCAAGCGGGAATTATCTCTGGCTTTGTGGGGACGTCAGTCAATATTCGTGAATGCGATAAACCTTTCCAATAGCAAATATTGAATAGCGAAAGGCATAATCCATCATTTTCTCGAATAAACCGGTATCGCGTTGGTATGCTTGAACACTACAGCTTATAGAAATTGTAAAAAATTTATTAATGAATTAATTAAATAATGCTAAAATTAAATGATTTCGAACTCTTTTCTAAATATCTGGATATATTGATTTGAGTTTCTCGTGTTTAGTTATCGGTATATGCCAAGTTTGTATGAATGGGTGAAAACCAGAATGGTGTAAGTGACATTGTCTCTCTCTGTCTATATATATAGTGAGAGCGGGAGAGAGAGAGAGAGAGAGAGAGAGAGAGAGAGAGAGAGAGAGAGAGAAAATCAGTGATGTCAGAGTGGTGTTTACATCTGGCGATGTTTCTCGGTTACTCTTTTCCAGCCCTCTCTATCCACTACATCTTCCTCTGTCCTCTGTGAAATTTCTTGTCGCCACCGCGGTCAGTATTCCTTATTTCCATAGGGTGATGGTCTGCCCCGTCATCTTCTGTCCGGAGGTATCCATGTATATACTTGTTTGTGCCACTTCCCTTCTGGCATTCTCAGCAGATATCCGTACCAGTAAAGCTGTTTTCGTTCTACAGTGTCAATTATATCCTATTGAATTTCCATTTTCTCCTTTATTCATTCATTATGTATGTAGCGTTAACGAGATATTCTGCAACTTTGTCTCGAAAAGTCAATTATCTTTTTACTTTTCTTTAGTTACTTCCCATACTTCCGAGCCATATGGGACCATATTTTCTATTATGGTACTATATATATTTTTCTTTGTTTTCTTTGATAGTTGGGAGTTCCACAGAACTGAATTTAGCATATTTATGATTCGTTTGCATTGATGTATCATATTAGGAGGCGGATTTGGATTACTTAAAGCATTGCCAAAAATGATGACTACAATGCTCTTAAAACGCTTTAAAATGCCTTAAAAGCAAAGAAAAATACGTAAAATATTAATCAAAACCACTTCAGAAGAACAACTCTACCTGTTGGGAATGTTACTGATGCAATCGACGCTTCTTCCTTTTATTCAAGTGAACTCAGCCTGCACAACTTTGGTTTGGACTGTTCTTTAAATCAAAATGTCTACCTTTATTTGTCGCGAAATCTTCTAAACTGACAATGGCACCTGAACTGATAGGCGTCACAGGAACGTTAGATTACATTGTACTCACAACGGCTGACAATATAATATATGAGCTAAGAAATCGAATAGGCTACTCAGGAATTCTGTGGTGAACATTTGTTGCACCTCGTAAATATTGTTTGATGCAAGTAGCATTAAAATGATATTAAAATCGATGAAATCAACAAAAAATGCATTAAAAACGGAAAATGCAATATAAAAATGGATAATTTCATTTTTTTATAACATAAAATGAATTTTTATCATAAACGGCATTGTTCTAAAGTAAAAAGGAAAAAGATGATATTTCATTAAAATCTGCCCCCTACTTATTAATACCATTATTGCGAGTGCCCTCTTTTGAATATGTAAAACCCAAATATTTAAAATTCAGTTTTCATTCTCTAATTTCCATTCCCATTACACTGCATTGCCTCCTCCATTCTCTCAGAGCTATGACAATGAACATGTTAAGAAGAGTTGGGGACAGCACCCGAGTCTTAATCCTTTAGAAATTATTATATCCTCTGATACTTGACCGCTTACTTTCACAGCACCTTTACTGTCTTTGTACATTTTCTTAATGGCGTTAAAATTTTAAAATGTCTGCTAATGGGTATGCTTTCATATCCTTTTTGGAGGTCAACGAACAATAGATTAGAGGGTTTTAACAGTTTAACCGGTATCCCTCCTGGGCGTGTTGATATATTATATTCTTCCCCTTCAAAGCTTTATTTAGTTCTTGTAGAGTTATTTTTGGGATGTCATCCTGTATTTGTACATTATCTGCATTATAACTGATATACTTGTATTCTGCTCTATCTTCTTTCAGAATTTTGTGAAAATATACCTCCCATTGTTTAATATTGATTTACTTGACATGCGTTTTTAGTTCTTTTATTGTTTTTCATGCTTCTTTAGACATTTGCTTCCCATTAACCTATTTGCTTCAAAGCATTTTGTTTGTCAAGCCTTTGTCTTTGCTTCTTTATACCTTTCTTTTAACCTTTCAATTGATATTACTGTATGATGTTCTATCTTTGGGGTCTCCTGTGCTTAGCCATTTTTTATATTTCACTTTTTTCTCATCAATCATTTGCTTCAAATCTTCATTCCAGCAGTATGTTTTTCTTTCCTTTATTTTGGACTTCTCACCAAATGCTTCAAACGCTGCTTCTTGGATTACTGTTTTTATTTCTTCATGTATAATTCCCTTGCAGGCCAATCTACCTTTATTTGCCAGTCTGAATTTATATAGGAAGTTAGTTGAGTAATTTTGTAAGCTATCCAAAAGATATATTTTTGGGCTACTTCAAGCATGAGGTTCTGGTATTTTGGCCCTTTGAACGTTTGCTTTGTGAAAAAAAATAAATAAATGCTCTAACTTAATAGTGGTCACTACCACATTCTACTCCACATAATACTCTTACTTCCTGGTATTTCAAATGATTTCTCTGTCTTAATATAACATAATCAATTACTGACTTAGTATTCCTAGTAGATTGTGTTCACGTATAATTATGGATATCTTTGCGTCTATAGAACCAAAAAATTTCGTAAACGAAATGCTATAGTTCATATAATAATTGTTGATTGTATTTATAAATAAATATAATTGTATCATGAACACAATGACCCTAGAAAATCTTCTTTTTAAATATTTTTGAAATTTTTTAAATTTTTTTTCGACATTGTGATACATATTGAGTCACATACAACACATTAAGCATGAAATTAAACAACGTGCACTAGACACTTAATCCCATTTTCCTTCCCTGACCCCATGAGTCCGTATTAAAGAGTGCACTGTGAAGTTCAAAAAAGAAACAGTTGCTTTGGGGCGTGTGAAGGGCTTGAGCGCTGGCGCGCTGGTGTTGCAGGGCTGTTCCAGACGGACGGGCAGCGGCTGCCGGGCACAGTGTGCGACCACCAGTTCGTGAGCGCGGAGCACGCGCCCCGCCACGGCCGCTTCTACTCCCCGCGCTTCCCCGCCAGCTACCCGCCCAGCGTGCGCTGCGCCTACCGCTTCCGGGGCAGGTAGGCCTTCTTGCTCCCTGACATTGCTACCGGATGCGCATTTTGTCCTTCGCCGAAGTTGACGCGCAGCTTGCCTCAGCGGTCGAGCCCTCGGTGCCACGGGAACTTGTCAACAAGGGCCCCGTTCATCCGACGCGTTCATCTGATGCGCTCCATACTAGTGTCCCGAGACCATTCAACTGTGTAAATCTATATTTCCTTTCAAGCAGAGAATATTTACTTACGACACCTTCGTTCGACCAAACTCTGCCAGTAATTGCCACAAGAGGTTTATTAAGACATTTTCGTGTACATGAAATTTCACTTACATGAATATTCAGGTATTTGCAGAAATTTAGGTATTTGCAGGCATTCGGAGGAAGAGCTCCGGTGCTCTATTGAAGAGAAAATGGAAGCAATTTCTCGAGGCGTACTTCAAAGAGTAAATAAGAGTATGTTCTGGAGGTGCCATGAATGAATTCGAGCCTAAGAACATCACTTTCAGCCTCATTTTCCTAAAGGTAAATTAAGCGCAGCGATAGTTTCCGTGTATGAGCACGGGAGTTGAGTCAGCGCGACCATGGACGAGCGCGGCCTCAATTTCCCGGGTGACGCGGCCCGAATCTTCGGCCAACGATAAAATAAGGAACTCTCTATAACTACGTATAAGAAAGGACCGCTTTGGCAACTAATTCTTGGCCACTGCTGCCAACGTAACTGCATTTTATGTCCGTGCACTCATTTTGTCAGTGCGTTCGTTTACAATTGGCTCATTTGTAATTAACTCCATCACTAAATCTTGCAATGCCTTCGCCGTGCATGACATTCATTTCTTTCCCGACCTGTCCGAGTTGTCTCATCTTAGAGTAACTCTTTTATAATAGCGTTCGCACGGGATGGCTGTGCACTCGACAACTGTTTAGCGCGAGAAAGACACACGAAAAGGGAGACCTGACATGCGCAGTAGAGCCAGCTACGCATGCTACAATCTATAATCTCTGTTCAGTAAACATCGGTTACAATCTCTAGATGGTATTGGACTACCCGATGTTTACTGAACAGAGAATATAGATTGTAGCTTGCGTAGCTGGCTACCGAGCGTAGCTTGCGTTTGCTCGTTTTTGATTATATACCTCAATACCATTATTTTTCTTGTAGCTAAATGTTTAAGTTACTCTCTGTAGTTGACATTATATTATTAAAATTCACAAAACAACAAGAAATGAGTTTGGAAATTTAGCTAAATGTCTAAAATAGCAAAAACGAAATGTCATACAAGAATCATGTTTCAGGTACTTTCAGGTCGACTGTAGATTCACAAAAATTTCAGCACGGTGATATTATTTGTTCAAACTTCTTTGGTATTTTAGATTTTATCTTTCATTTCAGTCCACTTCGACGACGTAACTTTTCCTTTTAAATGATAGTAGTAATTATCATTTCTAAGTAAGGAGAACAATGTATAAACTATAAGATGTGTTTACTGGCTGTGTGTAACTTCAATATTAAATACGATTTTCGCGTAAATTCTATATTTTTCATTACAACGATGTTCATTTCTAGTATTTAAATTGACTTTACAATGACAAACACATACAGAAACTAGCTTGCATTTATTTAGACTTTGTCATAATTTATTTGGCTTTGTCATAAATATCTCAGTACAACTTTCCATATTCGTAATCGTGACATCCAGCTAATTTCACATTAAACCCATCATTTTACTCTTTAGAAAAATACACAGCAAGTTTTTCCGTTCTGTTCGCTCATACGGCAATGAGCACAGAAATGCTGAGAAGTGCGTCGGTTTCTGAGAATCAGATTTTATCCCTAAATCTACTGCGAATGGCGTCTGAAAAAAGAAAGGCGTCTGAAAAAAGAAAGAAGTCCCTACGTCCCATATAAGTTGGAAGAGGTAACGCTTGCTATCACATCAATGGCAAAGTTTTAAAGGAGAGAGATCCAGGCGGTCTCTTCGCCACGTGTGTCATAAAACGAAAACTACTACCATTGCAGTGACGTTAAAGCCAGCAACACAGCTGCAGCAGATGTCTCCCCTCAAAGAGCCGTATCGGCTTAACAGCTTTCGCACGGGTGCGACTAGCGCGAGGGAAGTTTTTGCGATTCGTTCAGTCAACGGCCTCCTTCATCCGCATGGCCTTTCAAGCAGGTGTATTTAAATTACGTCTTTGAAGATTTTTATGTATGAATAGTCCGAGTCTAATACGCACGTTTTGAGGACATTCCAATTAATTTTGCTGTCCCTTTGTATGAGGGAGAGACATGGTAAAATTGCAGTTTTTATGTTGTGCGATTGTTTTAGTCTGCTTGTTAACTCCGATAATTACATCTTCGTTAGCTGGAAAGAAATTAATATAAAAGTAAATTTTAGTAAATAGAAACATTACGCGTATTTGCTCGTTTCACGTTTGAAGCAGATACCATAGAACATTAATTAAATAGTAATACATTCATGCCCGCACTTAATTGCCATGTATTAATGTTTCACTAGTTTATTTTAACGTTAAAAGTAGTAAAAAGATCTTTGTGACGTTTTTTTGGGGATCCGAAAACCTACCCCCACCTGCAAACATTAGTTGAATTAAGAATAAATGATAACGACTGTTGTTCATAAAATATGATAGCCGGAAATGATCCCTGCCGTGTAATAAAAACTTTTTTTGCGTAGAAAAGTGAGCTAGAGATTTGATGTAATAACCCTGCTGTCAAAATAACCAATCTAATTAAATAAGTGCTCAAGGAAACATTCTGAGATAATACGTACATTTAGTGTTTAGGGCAATTTCAGAAACCACGAGATATTTGCTCAGTGTATTAAGGAAAAGTGAAAGTAAAAAGAGTTGAGTTCTTGGAATTATAGATATTGTAAAACGTATAATTGAGAATTCTCAGAACTATAGTCAGGAAATAGCAGGCATCCATACAGAGCATTTAGAGCCCGAACAATGCCCCATTGGCCTATTTTATTTTTTTGAATGTATTTTTAGGCAACTTATTCCATTATCGATTCTCACTATCGAAATGGCTTTTGCGGGGGTTTTATAGTGGATATAAATGCGTTTTTTAGAGATAATTGCCTATTCGAAAGTGAAGAGAGACTATAAATGTTTAAAATGAATTTAATGCATTTTTAAATGTTATTGTTCTTTATATTTTTTCTATATTTTTTTAAAATAAAAACTGTTGGGTAATTTTTTACTCGGACGCATAAAATCTGCCAGGACGTCTTCCGATTGAGAAGCTCTCTGACTATGTGTTCTTGCCTGAGACGCGGCGCACAGGGATCCCGCCTAGTGACGTATGCGAATATGACACTGCGCGGGATTGCTTATCTGAGCTCCACAGGGTACCCCAGAGAGTACTAAAGCACCACAGGGCGCCCCAGAGAACAGAAAATGGCTCTTGTTTTTCCGATCTTCGCTATCATTAGTGAAATAGTATCTGTTACTTACAAGAACACATTGTCTTCAAGTTATGCGTTCCCGTCATCTCTCGATTTTAGAAAGCAGAATTATACAAATGGGCGAAGTTTATTCGATTATAATATTGTATTCCTTTCGAAGTCTGGCACATAGCTGATCCGAAAGTTTGCTGTTCCTCTTAAGCATGCTTGCTACAATGCCAATAGTAATCGTTTCAGGAAGAGTAGTTTCAGTTTGTTTAAAGAGCTAGATTCGTGGAGAAGAAGATTCACGACGGACAATAATGTAAGAGTTTGCGAAAAAATTGTTAACTGTTCCAAACATATCGTATCTTACACCATAAAACACTGAAAATCAAGGGAAAAAGTATTGAAAATGTGAGAAAAACTATTTAATCCTTTCTTCCGCCACTGTAGTCAGATGATGAAGACAAGTAAAAAATCAACACTGACTTGCACCATGCGCTGAACATTCCAGTTCAAAAGCAAAACGTTTAACCAGTTCTTTACAAAATATTCAATATAAAATTCCACAGGACACTCTTAGGAAGTATTATCTGATTCTATAATATGTTTTGACAATAGAATAAATCTGATTATCGAGTTAATACTTTATGTACTACGTTCTACTACGTCAAAATTTGAATATTAAATATTTTAATTTGCTTATTGGGTGAGAGTTTGACTATTTTTAATTATAATCTCCATTCCACAGTCTATTTTGTAAGTTTTTATTCCCTTTTTGCCTGCCTGTTTTCAACTTTAACTTCTATTTCCCTCCAATTTTCAAGTTTTTAAGTGCCTATTTTCGAATTTTTAGTGCCTACATGAAACAACGCTTTACGTAATGTCCATAACTTAAAACCCTTCTCTTAACACTATTTACACTATTCTTACACTATTTTGTATTGGACAATTTTAGATGTAACCTTATATACATACGGTAAAAAGTATTCTCACACACAGCACAAAAGTTCGAATTGTTTTTTCTAAATAGTTAATAGTCATAATATTCATTAATGGTCATATATCATAGTATTAATTGCGTTTCTGGTCGCTGTATGTCTTCAAACCACTCTCCAAAAATGAAGTACCAAAGTAATTCATAAAAATATTTAAAGTACTGAACATTACTGTTATAATTGCGTCATATTTTTATTTAACATAATAGTGAATTAAGAACTCATGTAATCATAGAGCAAAAGTTTTATATTTTAAATTCTTTTGTTACTTCAAGTTTTCACCCATTTTTACCCAACGAACCGAGTTTATCAGAAATATTTTTACGTGTTGTGCAAGGTCTTTTTCTCTGTTATGTGCATTACATTCTTGCGCAGTTTCGAAAACCATATACTCCATCGTGTGAACCACCAATTAAAACTAACGGTCATATTCATGTCCTTAATCCTAGTACCGGCTGCATTTATAAGTCATGTCATTCAGTTACGGCCAGATTTAACTTCGAACGCGCAGCCATTTCTCCTCATCCACTCGTCAAAATCTCCCGATGGATTCTCTTTAATACTCGTTTGCAGCCCGATGAAACGGTTCTTGGGATGGCCCAATTTGCATTAATTTAT